AAATTTAACTACATACGAAGTGAAAACGATTTGTATTTCGCAAATCAAAGTGATTGTTAAAGCAACCAAACTGTGTCAGAAATGTTCCCAAATTACTGGGTAAGGCTTTTATCAGCTCATCATCTGATCCAATAATTTTAATTGTGGCATTTCATTCGGCATGTCGCCGCACGACTTCTATGATACTCAAAGTCTCACATATATAATTTGAAAGGGGGGGTCTGGGGGGGCGGCGCCCCCTCAGCAGGTAGCTTTTGCTACTTGTTTTTTCTAAAGAAGAAAGCACAACAGAGGAGAAATTCAGCACCAGCCAAATTGAACGAGTGAAAATGAAAACACACCAACTCAACAACATTAAAACTCCCAAATATCTTAAAAAATTTCCAATTTTTATGGAAGTCACTAAAGATGGCGCATATATTGTGTCTTTAAGTTCTTGTCCTTTAGCACCAAAAACCTTTTTTTTTTTTTTTTTTTTTTTCAGACTAACTTCTGTGCAGACTGTGCCGATTTTTGTGTCTCTTGAACATTTTCATGTCGCCAAGTTGGTGTGTTTTCATTCTCACTGAATCAGTTATGTTTTGTAGGTTTTTTTTCAAAAGCAAATAGGAGTTGCAATCGAAAAGTACCTGGACTGAAACTATCCTGGTCCTAAATATGGTCCCATTAAAAAACACTAAAAAACTTAGTTGGCACTTAAAATTTTTAATTTTGTGTGGTTCCTGTATTCTACCAATTTTATTTCTTTTGTCCATCTGGAAGATAATTCTATTTAACATCAAAGTGGCTTAGCTAATTCATTTTATGCTTTTGCAGCCAATTCCTCACAGCAAACGAAAATTTATACCTATTAGTGGGGCCGATAAGCATAACAATCGTGCACTTCTGGAAGAAAGCATGAAAATTTCAGGGATTCATCTCGACCCTATAGACTTTCGATTTAGACATAGACCCCAAAAATCTGAGCCCCCTGGGGGGGCAGGGGGGCCCCCAAATTTTGAATTTCGTAAAACTACTGAACGGCTAATGTTAGCGTAATTTTTTTACAGCAGGACGATGGGAAATTTCATTAGGAACAAAAATGGTTCTTATGAATTTTTCTGTGGGACCGATATTTAAGGCGTGAAACGGGAAAAACCATCGGGGGACGGGGAGCCGGCCATACTGAGGCAGATCCGCGCGCTGCGCTGCCTGCCCGGGACGCGCGCGGCGGCGGAGTACGGTGTTCCCGACGAAATAGCCGCTTGTCTCGGTTTAATCTTAACGGTGCGCAGTTTTAAAAATATTATAAATGTATCGTACTACCTATAAAGCCTTAAAATAGGGCTTAATTTTTGTAGGTAATATATGTATACAAGTGAGCGCACGGCAAAAGAAGGAGAAGGAGAAGGGGCTAAGTGCTGGAGTTCGGGGATATTTTGTTGTACGGGTTTGTCAATTTTTATTAAAGCATCCGAGATATCTGTATCAGACATCAGTTGAACGGAATAAAATCTGACGCACAGTTGTCTCGTGAAGGGGGGGGGGGGGGGNTCACAAATCTTCTTTGTTAACCACGATGACCTGAAAAATTATTTTAAAGTGTTTTTTTTTTTTTCTTTCTCTCTTTTTCTCGGTGCTGCGCCACCAGAATGATATCTAAATATGCTTATATACCCTAAAGTTCCCGGGAGACGGCTTCCAGCCAGACTTTTAAGGCAGGGAAACTAATTTTGTAAAAAATGAGTATACATAAAAACATGCTTATTCTCCTCTCTTTAAGGAACATATTGGTACATCATTGCTACGTATAGGCATTTTTTAAGAGGACCAAAACCACCTTCAAAACTTGCACCGAAAAAACGCCAAAAGAATCTTGAGAAAGCTTGATAGGGATAAAAGATCCCCAAAAACATTCGTTGGACTGCTTCCTGTACAGTACAAAGAATATTATTAAGTAATAAATAGCCGCCAATATCCGCTAATCTGCAAAAACGTTCCATTTGAGTCATAGGAAGTCGCGCCTACTGGGGACCTATCCTGTTCTTATGTCGTCAATTAAATCGCGCATCATTCGATATCCCGCAATCTCGGTAATTTTGCAACTGATTACTGATTACTGATTTTGACTGATTTGTTGATGTTTTGACGAGAAATTAACTTTTTGATAATCTCTAAAGCTAATTCGATCAGTGTTATACTGTACGATAAAGTTTAAGGTGTACGTTTTGTGCACTGCATATTTTGCAAGTCCCGTTTCTTGACAATTTTCTCCGACATACTTACAAATCAAAAATCGGTACGAGATTTGGTGGGTTGAAAAATAAGAAATGCAATGAATTTCTTCCTGACGTACTGGTCCTTCTCAAAGTTCTTTGAAGGATCAGAACCTGCATGATAAAAAAATTTCCACCTACACTAATATTTTTTTCAATACAAATGTTACCAACTCCACTCCAAACTCCGTAGAACAAAATGAAAAATAATATACATGGATTTTTTTACCACTCATTCCATTTTTTATGTCTCGTAGAAAGTACCAATAATATCTTCAAGGGTGACTCGATAAAAAGAAGCGATAGGATTCAGATATCTTCTTTTAGTGTATTTTCCGAAGGAAATACACTATTTTATTATTCATTATAATGTATTGTTCTATTTTTTGAAATATGCATATTTGTTGAATAACTGAAAGAGTGGGGAGTTCATGAAAATGAAAACTTCTATTGACTGGCTGGAGGAAAAAAGAGGAGAAAAGAACATTGTCGGAATGTTTCGTATGTAACCTGTGCAATTGCGAGAAACCAATTAACATGAACGAAAAACGATATTGGAGGAAAATGAAGGAAATCTGGTATCCTCGGTAGCGAAGGGAATGTGAAGCCCCCCTCTTTACTCCTCAAGTAATGTCTTAGCATCAAGTTTTGCAAAATTCTTGCTTATATAAGCAGCTTATGGTCCCATTCGCCGAAAGTAACGTGGAAAATAAACTGAAAATAAGTTATCAAGGATCCGCCATTTCCAATAATCATTAAAAAGTGGGTCAAAATCGTGTATTCAAACTTGTTATTTCGCTCTAATATCTTAAAAAATGTAATCCTTTACAAAACTTACGTGAGGAAAGGGTAATACACTCTACTGAGATCGGAAAAGCTCTGTATTCAGAGAAAACAAGACGCGTGATGCGCGATGACCGACCCCTCTTATTGACTCGGCACTTTTGCATTGGAGTATTTCGCCTTTTGCTTGTTTTTATGTGTTACTAATAAAAAGTAGGGCTTATATCACTATGGAAAAGTATTTAGGCAGTACAGTAAATTCATAATTATTTTTAAAACTGCGCACCGTTGAGATTAAACCGAGACAAGCGGCTATTTCGTCGGGAACACCGTACTCCGCCGCCGCGCGCGTCCCGGGCAGGCCAGCGCAGCGCGCGGATCTGCCTCAGAATGGCCGGCTCCCCGTCCCCCGATGGTTTTTCCCGTTTCACGCCTTAAATATCGGTCCCACAGAAAAATTCATAAGAACCATTTTTGTTCCTAATGAAATTTCCCATCATCCTGCTGTAAAAAAATTACGCTAACATTAGCCGTTCAGTAGTTATACGAAATTCAAAATTTGGGGGCCCCCCTGCCCCCCCCAGGGGGCTCAGATTTTTGGGGTCTATGTCTAAATCGAAAGTCTATAGGGTCGAGATGAATCCCTGAAATTTTCATGCTTTCTTCCAGAAGTGCACGATTGTTATGATATTTTCCACTTATCGGCCCCACTATATCAAGATTCTTTTTTGTCAATGACCCAACGTTACTGTTTGATAGTAATTTGAAGAGAAATGTTTCACTTCTTTTTTGTATGTGCATAATGAACGTAATGTTTTGTGCCAATGTTTTCTTTGACAGAGGTTTTAAATAACTCATCTATAAATTTCTTGTTTTCGTGTTTGCAGGACCCATCTAATGCTCTGAAGAAGATGTTACAAATAGTGGAGGCTCCCAAAGCTTTATCCAGTTTACGAGTATGTCATCAAATTTTGTTCTAAGTCTTTTTTAAGCAAACTTACTTTTCAGATTTTATTTAAAAATGATCTTGGTTCAGTAACTCGCTGTGTAAGGTTTGTCAACTGCACATTACCCTCCTAAAAGCCTTCAGCAAGCAAAAGTTTTTCCTAAGAATATGTGTAGGAAAGTCTAAGTCAGCATCAGAGGAAATTTCTGACTTGACTACTAATTTGAGTATTTATCCACTATTCAGTTGTTTGTAGAAGTGTATGCCTTTTGGTCTTCTGTTTGATTATGATATTGAATAAAACAATTAAAATAATTGTATGTACAATTATGATTATCCAAGAAAAATCATCTAACCTCGAAAGAATAAATATCTCCTCAAGAAATATTACACATGCTCCCTCAAAAATTACTTAACTACTGGTTTTATGGAATGTCTATTGAGAACCATGACAGTATAAGAAGTGAATTTTGTTTAAAACGCAAATCGTCTTTGTTTCAAGTTCCTTTTGAAAATTATTGCACTTGCATGTTATTAATGAAATGTTACTTTTCAGCCGGAGACAAGATCTTTAACAAGCTCAGGTCAGACACCAAATGCAGCATTTGCCACCTTACCTACGAATGTGAATGCTCCTCCTCCATTACTGTCTAATACACAACCAAACTTCATGTCTAGTCCGGACAACTCATTCCCCAGGAATCTTAATCCCTTCAACCTACCCTATCCGTAAGTGTAAAATTGCAAGTTTACTCATGGTTTAAAAAAAAAAAATCTTACACCAATTCGACAATAGTTACTTTGCAGGGCTGATTTACAAGCATGTAAACACTAAAAAAGCACATAAAGAACAGGAGAAACTACTCTAACTTCATTGTGTCGAAAGGAACGCACCAATTCATCTCTGTTATGGATTTAATGTCTTTTTCCGATTAATGAAAATAAGGGACAATGCAGAAATTATCTAATGCATTTGCAGGAGGAAGATTTCAAGTTGTACACGTGTACATCAATGGAGGGGAGTGGACCTTCAGCCTTGGAGAACAGAATGATTTAATTTGGAAAAACGTGTTATTTACAGATGAGAAGAAGGAATTTTGAGCCGAAATATCAAAATCAGGTGTTAAATGCAGAATTGAGTGATTCCTTAAGGAGATTCCAGTATGTTTTCCGAGTGCATTACAAGGAGAGAGGAGGTTATAAAATCTAGAATAGTGCATTTGATAATTCTTATGTCCAAGAATTTCAGCTTTTGCATGTTAGTAAAACATGTGCTAAGATGGTGGTGTAGTAAAAAAATGTGAAAAATAACTACTAGTAGGCCAAAATGTAAGCAGTCAGAACACTCTGTAAAGCACCACTACTATGTAAACTTTGTTCATGGGAGCGAGAGTTGCTTAGCTTCAGCCATATTAATCATACTTATACAGATATATATTAAGTTCACACCCAAAACACATTAAGTTCAGACTGTTGTTGTGACAGTTTCACATGAGGGGCAGGAAGCAAACATCAAAATTTAATCTGAATTGCCATCTCGATTCTTAGCGTATATTTGAGGTAAACCTTTAAATTCTAATTCCGTTCACAGGGGCCATGTATTTGGTAGTAATGGAACTGCATCTGGTGTACTTCAAATGCCTCCAAGATTTCCATCATCTCTCCCTCCACCTCCGATAGTCGCTCCAACTCATGGAAAATGTAAGTATCCTAATGATTCTTGAAAGAGTGAATTTTGCATCTTGTTTATTATGACAGGTGGACGTAGCCCCTGTGATAGGTGAAATTAAACGTTTTTGTAATTAATTTTGAAAAAACAATCAATAATAATTACAAATGAGCAACACTGGTGTATTTCCTTATTTTGCCCTGGGTTCAGCAGCGATAGCAGATGGCGAGAGGATCGCACTTCGGTGCCTCATGTCATATCCGTGACAGGGTTTAATATTGCAGGATGCTAAGCTTGACTCAGACTGGGTAAGGCTGGATAATGTGCTTGTACAAGAGCAAAACCAGCACATACTAATCACTCTCTGTAGGACCTAGCAAATCATCTCCATTGCATCTGCCTGAGGAACCCCNCCCCCCCAATGTCACTGGAACTTCTTAAAACTCTCATTTCAATTTTTGGGATTTCTAGCTTTGATTCCCTCCAAAAATACTGTGCATCTGTATCATATCAATTCAGAAAAACCAATAATACTACTTTGGCATTATTTTCTCTTTGGGAACAGTTATCTTGTGATCAGTGCACAGGATAGAGTCAATATGGATTTAAGAATTTATATTTTAATTGTCTCCAAAGCAGTGCAATTGTTTCACAGATAAAATTAATCTCTATGTAAATTTTGGTAAAAATAGAAGGGGGAAAAAACAAAAGCCCCGAAGGTGGCCCAAAATCAATTAAAAGCCCCTCCCCTCAACCATCCTCCCTGTTAGAGTTATGTAGGACCTTCATTTTGAGCCCAAAAATGAAATCACCATGAAAAGTGTATAGGATTCTTTTTTTTTGTGATTGATAAAGAGCTTCTCACTTTGTTCCTTTTTACAGGCGCTCCTCCGGTTGTACCCAATTTTCCTATGAATTCAGTTCAGGTAAAGTATTTTATGTTCATCTACTTAACTTCAGCTTTTTCTCTACAATGTCTAGGGACTATCTTTTTATGAAAAAAGTTCTTTTTTTATAATATCTCAGATGTTACTTCCTGAAGACAATACCCTTTAAATTTGCTTGTCTGACAGTATCTCAATAATAAAAGTTTTTTAGCAAGTTGCCATGTTTCAAAGAATCGGGGAAAACATAGAGAAGTCAGAGAATTTAGATTAGTTTTAAAAAAAATTTGGAATTTTTGCTGCACAACCCTGAAATTTGTCACTGGGCTTAACATTGCATTTTTCAATTTAAAGAGATGTCCTAATTGTGTGGACGGAATTTTTGATCATAAGAAATCATTCAATCAAAAAAATAGTCATGAATTTTGAAATCCGAGAAAACTCGTCACCCTACATATTTAAGGTCTCAACGCTTTTTGCAAGAGCTGTAGACCTCCTCCTCTCTTTTTTTCCTTCCAGGCATTTTTTGATAGTACACAATCGAGAGAAAATGCTAGTATTCATCAACAACATCAAAATTTCAATTTTAGTGCTCAGTTTAACACCTTAATATCCCTCAGTTACAATATCTACAATCTGTCTGCAGTGTACCTACTGGCATTTTAACCAACAAAGGAGAATTCAGCCAGCTCAGACAGGAGAGATGAATGGTGATTTTTGGATGTAAAAACTTAATTTTTCCCACTTTCTTTGCTATGTCTGCTCCTTCTCTTCATATTTGTTTTTGGTGCAATTCTGTCCCTTCTGTCCCTATTTTGCCGGCGCAAGTGCAGATGGATCCCTTTGCTCTCCCTCCTTTATAAATTGCGCCAGGCCGAGGAACGGGCGAAAAACGGAACCACCCCCGGGGCCCGTAGCAACCCCCCTGGGGGTGGGAACGGAAAAACCCGCGGGGGGAACGGAGACCCGGCCGCGAGGGGTCCGCCGAACGAACATCAAGGGCGCGGGACGCGCTGGGACGGCGTGGCGGGGACCGATGTTCAGAGGGTCGCGGGGTAAATCGTATAACTTTATATAAGAGATAACAATGAATTTAAATTATGTACAGACATTTTTTAAAGCTGCAATTAATGTATGCGTTTTAAGAGTAGCTATCATTGCAAGTTATAAAGGTTTTTTAATTAATATGAAATTTTAATGTGTCGGACACGGAATTTTTTCTAGTTAAAGTCAAAATAATGTTAAATCTTGTGTTGATCAAAATTTCATAGAAAAGCTGATAGTAATCTAACTATTACCGTTTTGCAGGAAAATAAAAACAATGATCTCTCACCATTCTGCAATCCATTTGTGCCCCTACAAGTCACGCGGAATCAAGTGACACACTCACCAAGAGGCTCTGCATCTGCCCAAACTTCAGAAAGTTTTTCTGGACAGAAGTTGCAGGTATGTATATGTTCACACAGAACTTAATAATTTTTTAATATGCAACATCTGATTCAAAATTACCAACTTGTAAATTATTTTAAATTTAGAGCATTTTGTCACATTAAAAAGAGCTTTAATTGCAGCCAACCCGAAAATGATGAGCGTCTTGATGCCCAAAGATTATTTCATGGTAAATTTATTGATTGGTATAAGGAGGAAAGTTTGAAGTGGGAGCAGAGTTAATCTTCCAGGAAATATGGCTCTCTCAGCTTTTCTACTTGGTGTTAGGTTTCAAATTTACATCAGTATTTAGCATATTAATAAATGTATCCAGTTTATACACTAATTAAATTGTTTGTAAACTTTTGATAATTTTTAACAATGTTATTGGAATTTTTAATTTTAATCTATGCAATTCAAAACCTAAAGGTTTCTTATTCACGTTTAGATAATAGAATATGTCTCTTTTTGGGACTTTAACTTTTAATTTACCAAAATTACCAGTTTTTACATCTCACATTATTCATGTTAACAATTTCAGTCTTCCAATGGCTCCATTCCTCCTCTAGTTTCAAATTCCAGTACAAACATAACACCTGCTACGGCAAAACCAAGGAAAAGCAGAATAGCAGCAAAGTTCATGGCACCTCCTGATCCTAAAGCATAAGGTAATGGCTTAAATTCTCTATTTATTTCTCTACTTGTTCAAGAGGTCTTTGATGCATCTCGAATCTGTATTTTCAGCTCATCAATGTTGATAGAGGTGGGATATTTTTCACGGTTGTGGAGGAGTAAGAGTTGAAGGTGTGATGGTGTAATCTCAAGTTAAGTTTTGCCAAATGTTTTTCCCATTCTTAAATGTTTTAATGAGTCTCCGCAGGTATAAGTCTTTCCAAGCTTATACAAAGCCATTTCATTATGAATCTTATTCCATTTACATCTTAATTGAACGGTGCTCTCTTACACTTTACATGCAGAATTATTACTGAAGACAATTGCCAAAAATCGGGGTTTTCAGAAAATCACTTACTTTGAGGCTTGCTATACATTTCTGTGAAAATATGTATTGACTTAAGATGAAGAACTTTTCTAATTGTATTTTCTAAGCTGATCAAAAGTTGTTCTCGTATTTTTGAAATCTCTGAATATAGGCCCTTAGAATCTACGTTGTAATATATTTAATTTTTTTTATTCTTTACTTCTTTTTCAGGGTATGTCAGCAGTTTTGGATTATGCAGTAATCATACTGTCAATTTACTGTGATTCTAATTTTGAATTTTTGTTTAAAAATGTTTAGTTTAGTAGTTAGTTGTATGAAAAGTATTTTTCAGCGATCTAACTCTCTTTTATATATATAGCTTACCGTTGCTGCAGCAAGGAGCTTTGATGTTATCAAATGCTCTGTTAGGTTTCTCCTATGGCTAATGTTTTTCAAAACCATTTGAAGGAATATTCTAAGTAATGCATAATGACTACGTAGATAGATAAAAGAAAAAAGTGATGAGTGTTGCTATGAGCTTCATCTTTTCTTTCTGCCTAAATATCCATTTCTTAATGATGTCATATTGTCACTAAACTCTATTATTCCTCGAATCGTTTCCCTTTTGAATTTGTCAAAGTGAGAATCACTGCGTACTTAACAAAGACATAAAGACGGAGGGCTAAAAGCAAAAAATGAAGCTTCTTTTCAACCACCTCTACTATTGGCTAGAGGATTGGCGGCGAAATCGGGACAAGTTTGAATTCAAATGTAGGGCGGGAACTGAATAAAATAATTGCGGAAACAAAGTATTCTAGGTTGATTTTTGCCCAAATTCACTTACCTACTCATATTTCTTTAACTTTAGGTTAGCTTTGGTCCGTCGTCGACCGATTAAATTTCATTTGGGAGTGACGGTCATCTAGAACTGTAACGACCTGTTTGAACCTGCAGAACCACCATGAGCAAAAGAAAAACTAACTTTATCTGAGATTACTGCCTATTACCAAGCAAGAGTAGGTGTAATATATTAGGACGCAGACCAAACTTTCTTAGTATATTCGTTTTAGGAATTTAAAATACGTTTCAAAGAAGAAATTTGCAAAAATCAAGAGGACAAGTTCAAATCAAATTTCCGTTTGCCGCCATGGATTCCCGCGCTCATTTACACACTCACACAAGCACCCAGCGCCAAACCAGGCTTCACTTTTTCTCCGTGCTTTTAGATACGAGCACTCCGTCTTTATGTCTTTGGTACTTAAGTACTAAGAATAAATATTAATCATTTAACTGCAGGAAAATGTAATGAAAATTCTAAAACCAAATAAACTGAAAAAAAATTAAATTATGTTGGCAAAACCAAAGTAAATTTAGGTGCCAAATAGTTGGTAGGAATTTATTTTTTAATCAGACCCTACAGTCCAAAATCAGAGCCAGAAAGATCATAAGTGGGATCAACAGTACAGGTAGATCATAGGTAAACACAAGATTGTTAACGCTTCTTTTTTGTAGTTTTTAATTTATAGGACTGTGAAGTTTAAAAAAGTTGAGCGTTTCATGAATACCTGAACTCAATGAGGGATCAAGCAATTTCTTTTTTTATGCACCTGATATAAATACCCATGCGCAACAAAACACAAGTGAGGAACTTAATGAATTTATTCTAAAATTAAGCGTGGTTTTAAGCAAGGGATATTGATTCATAATTTTTTAAAAATAATCACAAATTTTAAAAGAGAAAGGACAAAGATCAGAATTATAATATTTTCATAAAAAAATATTAATAATAGATAAATAATAAAATAACTTAACAGAGTAATTTTATGTTCTACATCTTCTCCATAAACCAAAAGAAGCATGAAAACTTATGTAAAGGTAATGGATAAAAGTCAAATATCAATTAGTAGTATTTACATTCGTAGGATTTTGGCTAAGTCATCTGTTAGTCTATACTTTAAAACAAAACAAAAATCAGAAAATCTGTATGTTTTGAGAGGTGAGGATATTATTGCATTAGACTTCAAAACAAAACAAAAATCAGAAAATCTGTTTGTTTTGAAAGGTGAAGATATTATTGCATCAGTTGTCTTCAGGTAGTAGTTTTGACCAGCAAAATGTATCGATTCCTATAAGCCTTAAATATGGCCCATGTGTCTACTCTTAATGTAGCAAATGAGGCTTTGAATGTGAGCCCCAATTTCAAAGTAGTCGTGTCTCTCAAGAGCCCATAGAAGGGCTTTTGACATTCTATTTTCAAGTCCTAACTGTAGATATTTTCAGTAATGGGAAATTTTCAAAAATTGAGTTTTCGACTGAATACTATTTTTTTAGGGTGGACGCATATGACAATGGAGCGATTCTACCAAAATTATTTTTAAATGTCTTCTTTATCATTTAAATATCTGCCTTAGTGGAAAAGAGGGCTTAATTTCTGAGCCACCTCTCCCAGCGCAAGGTGCTTCCATAAGAGAAAACCATGAGCGAAGGCACAAACTATGAATTTCAGTATTGTCTTTGAACACGCATGCTTTTTGACCGTCATAATACTGCTGTAAATGGCAGCACTGAGTGGTTTTATGGAAGAAGGGCTTATCCACCAACATTTTAAAATTTTATATTTTTTGCCCTCTCCCTGCCTTTAATACTATGACCTTCCTTGTGCAATCATGGTGTTATCTTAGATGATATGTAGAACATTGGTTGATTTTTTTTTACCAAAATATAAAGAATTATCAAAGGAATCAAGTTTTGTCCGATCATTGTAGCTAAAATTTCAGAATATTAATACATTTAACCACAAAACTTGGGACTTTAAAGTCAATTTAAAAACAAGCTTTAGAAATTTCTTCTATTTTTCATGCAAGTCAGTAGATTATTATTTATTGAAAATGTGAAGTATGTAAATTGTTTGAATATTTCCTTCTACTGAGCCTCAAGCGCTGTGCATGAAGTAATAAGCCTTGATTTCTCCTCTTAATAGACAGGATGGAAATTAAAACCCTCTCCCTTCCGTGTCAGTTGGAACCAGCTTTCTGTTTTCACATCTGGAAGGCATTCAGTAAAAATAGCGGTTCTCATGGTGCAGTGACTGCAACCTTGTACTCCTGTAGTTTTAAGAAAAATTCATAGAAGAATCAAATATTCCTATGAGTAGAGCAGGGTGGCAAGTTCTTGGAAATTTTCCAGCAGAACCTTGAAATTTTGTCTTCCCGCTTTTAGATAGGATATTTTTACTTCAAATGGTTTGGCCCTTTAAATAATTTGTGGAAGGAATTTTTATGAAAGATTGCGCTAAGTTTTCAAGTCCAAGAAAGTTTGCCACGTGGAAGAGACTGGACAAACATGGATGTGTCCCTATTCAAAGAGATAAATGAAAAAAGGGATGTCGGAGAAAAAAAATGAGGAGTGTGAGATTGGAAGAATATACATGCTAACTAACGTAATTTGTATTATTTTCAATTTCACGAGTATCTGACCAATTCCCTGGAATAAATAATTGTATTTGTGATCCAAAAATTTATTGTATGAGTTATCACTGTGAAGAAATATATATCTCATTTTATATTCCAATTTTTTTTCCAGTAACTCACTGCATTTTACTAAACTAGTTGAAACAAAATGTTATTTGACTCCATTGTAAAATAATCGTACTTTAAAACTGTTGATTTGCTTGGTTAATATACCGGGACAAATTTTTTTTCAAGTAGATCAAACCTATACTGTTCTGATTCTTGATACTACACTTTTCTTCTCTCATGAATAGGTATACGTACACTCAAGGGTTTTTCTTAAAAATTTAATAATGAAAATAGTAATGTATGTCAAGAGATGAATATCAATAACAAATCTGAAAGGTCTGTGGAATAAAATCAGCAAATATGTTTCTTCAATAAATAATCCTGTCAAATTTATTAAGGAAAGTGATCAGTGAACTCAAACAAAACGCAAAACTAATCTCATTTCATGATCGATGTTTTTAAATAATGAAGGTAATTATCACAGCCATCACAATCGTATTTTGTTCGGAGGCAACATTTGCAACATGTTGTGAAAACAATCAACAATCGCATTTTGTTCAAAGTTGTTTTGTATTGTGGGGACGTGGCTTATTTTCATGCGCAAAATTTGGGAACCCCCACAGCAACATTGTCGTACAACAACTGCAACGTGCCTAAAGCAAGTCGTTTTATGTTGTTCAAAAAAGCAACGCTGTTTTCTAACCTAAAATTGAGAGTTGCTCTCTCATTGGTTGTTCAGAATCGCAGAAAAAAAAAAGAAAATAAAACGGAAACATTTTGTTGTTTCAAACTAAACACGACTCATTTAGGTCCATAAAAAATAGTGAACATTTATTTGTCAAAGGAGTTCAACAAACCAATTGGCATCATAAGTGAGTGTAGCAGTCCGTGTTTTTGGAGCCATATTTGTTTTATTACTTTAAGATAGCATTCACCAAAAGCATTTACTACTTAAGATCAGTTTTCCCTAATTAATTTTTATAAATCAACTTGTATCTATATTGAACTTGAGTAAATATTTTTATTATTTTTGCATCCTTCATTTCCAACTGTGTCAATTATAATCATTTACTCAGTGTGTTTTGGGGAGATTATTTCTCTGTTGTTTCTCTCGCAATGATGTATGAGCATCTTCAGTAAAAGTGGTCTAATGTCAGAGTGCTTTATCAAACACAGGGCCTTCAAACTGGCACTAATTGTTTTATTTCTTGGCCATTTCTTTACGAAATTCCTTGAAAATCTCAAGATCTGATCTTTGATAGTTCCCGAACCTATCGGTTCCCTTCGAAGATTGTTAGGCCGACGATCTTCGAAAGCCAACTTTCAACAATTCCATCGATGAGCCTCTTTGCAGCCTCTTGTTCATACAAGGGCTGGACGCTTGAAGCCAAAATGATCACTGTTAAAATCAGAATGATTTGTTTTAGAAAGCAGCCTGACTCACTTTTATCACGGGTTTCCCAGTTATTATATCCCTATGTTAAGTAATCACACCTTTAATAATATCTTCTCCTGGATGAAAGATACTTGCAGAATGCTGTATGAACACAACTCGTCCATAGAAGTCTCTAGATATTACGTTTTTGCAGTCATGATCGATGGCTCCAGACTTATCAGTTCCTGTACCTATGTATCATCTGTACCTTGTATCATCTTTTTGTTTTGTTTCCTTAAGTTTTTATAGTCCATCCAAAATGCTCAAAGTTTGTACTCAAGGGAAATAAATAGGAAAAAAGAATGAAAATAAACGGTTCTTAATTTTAAATGAATTAGTGAATTTTTCCAGGTCTTCCTTGTTTTCCAGCTAAATGATAGATAAAGTGCAACTAAAGTACACTTCAGTTTTCTTGTAAACTTTGCTACTCTCTCATATTAACGTAGTGGATGGGATTAGGATTTCAAGGATTGCTGTCTGAGGAAACTCATTTTGAATAACCGCTTGTATCACTGTGTGTCACAACCGAAAAGGGGAAAAAAGCAAAATATGAGAGCTTCAGGAAAAACACTCGACCTGCCTCAGACTGACATTGAGTCATGTTTTTTTCACTGTTTTGCCTATAGAAACCTGTAGGCAAAAAAGGAGCGGTTAACCA